CGTCAAGGCGCCTGGGAGGGGTCGGCGACTGAGACCTCGGGATCCGGACAGCCGGGGCTGGCGGTCCGGGCGGGAAATGGGAAAGAAGACCGCAGCCGTGTGCCCTCGAGGTCTCTGCGGTCGCCAAAACCTGGAAGGTCTGGCCGGGGCGAGCGGCGGCATTTTTCCCTGCCCGCCGGGTGCGCTCGACGCGCGTTCCGCCTCCGTGGGCTGCGCCGCGGCGCGAGAGCCAGGAGGGGCTCAGCGGGCCCCGAGACCCACCACGTGCCCACGCAGCCATCTTGCAGCCGCTCCTCGCTCTCTCAAAATGGCCTCCCGGGCCCGCAGCGCATCCCGCCGGAGCCTCGGCGGCCCAGCCCAGCCGGTGCCCTGGTCTCTTCCCTCCGCAAGACCCAGGCGTCCTCGAACCCGCGCCCTGGGGCCGGCGGCGGGCAGGCAGCGGCGGCCTTCCCGGCTCCGCGCCAGCACAGGGCGGAGCGCACTTCTGGTTCCGAAGGCCACAGGCCCAGGCAGTGCCCTGGTGGAGAGAAGGTGCGAGTGCCTCAAAAGAATCCTTCCTGCGGTCAGGTTCGCGCCGCAGCGCGGCTTCGGAGTCTGTGCCAGTTGGTCCATTTTCCATGGCTCGGACCCCTCTGCGCCCGGCCTGATCCGCACAGGGTGGGAAGCGGGTGCATGCCGTTTCGGCTAGGGCTCTGGCGGACCACCAGCGGGGAGAGCTGGGGTGTCCAGGTGGCCGCCTCCAAGGCCAGAACCCTCAGAGTCGCCGTTTACTTTGCACCTGCTGTATGCTACTCGTGGTGTTTGGTGAGAGTCGTTCACAGGTTGGGGGTAGGGATGACCTTGTGTCCCGGCCTGGGCACCAGGGGAGTCTCCAGTCTGGTGACTCAGGTGAAAGCGCAGACGCTCTACCCCAACCCGGTCCTGGACTCTCCCAACCTCCGCACCCGCGGGCAGAGTGGGGGTGCAGGCAGCCAGCTCCTACCCCACACACCCTGGGTCTAGCCGCTCACCTCTTCTCCTGCGCGTCCTCCTCTCAGCCGGTGCGCAACCGCGAAGAGGGTGCAAAGCTCTGGCGGGAACCGAGCCGAGGAGAGAGGCTCCTGTAGGGAAGTAACTAGCTGTAAAACAGAGAGGAGACATCAGGTGCTCCCCCACGCTCGCCCAGAGGCGCGCCCCGATCTCCTGGAAGGTGTCCTCTTGGTCTCCTGGTGGTGGCCTGGGATGGGACACATGTGTCCATCAGGTCAACAGAAGCTGCTGGGCGCTCTCCGCACCTCGGCGGTGGCCGGTGGACACAGCGGAGAAACCGCATGGGTACGGCTCAGGGATGGAGGGGAAGTTTGGGG